TGTTTGATAGATCTTGCTAAGCTGTATTATCCTCTTCTCTGCCTTTTTTTTTCAGCAGAAAAGAATGAACAAAATATAAAATATTTCTGTTGATTCGGGTGTATCATATTGGACATTCTGTTTTAAAAGAATAGCTTTTTTTTTAATTAGTAAAACAATATGCTCCTTGTGAATGCTGAAAAAGATTTTTTTAATCACCCATGGTCAAACCACCTAAAAAGCAACTGCTGCTAATATCTTTGTGCATCTCTTTCTAGGCTTATGCCCAATCCATTTGTAGGGAGTTTTGCCTTAATAAAAATATAATATATGGAATATAAAAGTTCACAGCTTGCTGTCTTACAAGTTCACATTACAGGATAGACAGTTTTCTAATAAGCATCCTTTGTTGAACAATCTCTTGTGGCAGAATAAACTGAGACCCCTCCCCTCCCATTTGCCTTCTCCATCCCCCTGACAGACCCCTACCACCAGGAGAGAAAAAGGATGCCCAAAAGAGATCGGGGGGGGTGGGCATCCATGTGGGATGCCCTCCGACTAGTGGGGGTGCCACTGTCCTACGCAGTCACTGGCAGAAAGTGGAGATAGCCTCTTGGAAAGTACACTGTACCAGCTGAGAAGGAACATCTCTGAAGGGTATCATCCAAGTGGAGACTATAAAATGCCCCAACTCGAAGGGTCACAATTTCCCATCTTTTCCATTTCTAGACCATCCTTGGGGACAAACCCTGCAAGACAGAGAAGGGACCTTTCATGTGGGTTATACCTGTAATACAATGATGCCTCTCAGGGCTACCGATGACCAGGAAAGAAAAGCACACCCCTGCTACCTGTTCAGGACACTGTCTCACCTTCATGCACCCCAAGAAAGACATAGGCTACTTATACAAACGTGAAGAATACTACCCTGATACTAAATAGCCCCAGAAACCCACTCAATTAAACATCTGTTGTTCTGCCTTAACCTCCAGTGCAGTGCCTCCCAACTTCGTCTGCACATGGAATCAACGCCTGTGTACCCACCGCTGAAGACTGTGATTTACTCACCTTGGGTGTGGCCTGGGTTTAGAAATTATTAAAGATGCCGGGGTGATGCTGACATGTGTCAGACAAGTCTGAAAACTACTGCTTTAATGTCAGGTTCTAGAAAATCACTTCTCCTTGCAGGTGGCATACAGCCATTGCTTGGCACAGCCCATCTCAACAACTCTAATCCTGTGTGTTGTGGAAAAGCTATCTAGAATATACCCAAAATAAGGGGAAATGAGTTTGGAATAATGCAAGGAAAATGTATGAACTATAGAATTATAACTTTATTTTTTTAAGCATCTATGTGTCTGCTCAGAGACCTCAGCTTTTTTCCAGGCCAGCTGAGCTGGCTGAAGAAGGGACCACCAGACAAGCAAAGTTTGAGGGCATCTTCACACGTGTGATGGATCATGTGTTTATACAAGCCTACGCCTATAGCTGTCCAGCCTAAAAGCCACAGCTCAAACTACAGTGTCTTCCCTGATTGTTTGGCAATTTGAGAGCCAGTATCATATCTTTATTGTGTCACTGTGTGGCATCCTGAAGAGAAACTTTACACCCAAGAAGTTCCCAGCAAACGTTCAGAGTGATCTTTTAACACCCTGTTGCTGCTGATTCTCCCAGAGCTGACTAATGGGCCAAGGAAGAGCCACGACTCTTAAGTGACAGGTCACTCCTTATGAAAGTGGTGCCTGAGGTCCTTCTTGGGACGATCAAGTAAGATCTTCTCTTTCCAGTTAAAATATTCCAGATGAGCATTGTTACTTGCTCCTTAGGGAGGGCACTGTTAGAAAGCTCAAAGCAATGAATTCACCTCACAACTGCCCTTTAAGGGTGAAAACAATTATTTTGATCATTCCGAGCAAGAAGCTGCCTAGAGCCAGAACTTGTTCTCTGAGCAACCTTGAGAGGCCTGGACCAGGGAGCGAGCTGGTCCTCAGAGCCCCTGGCTGATGCAATCTGAGGACATTCCCCAGAAGACATATTCTTTACTTCTTAGTTTAAGAAAATAAATTAAAAGTTCAGGAAAACAACCCTATACCCTGCACTAATTGACTTTAGAAACAAAAGGCAGCTCTAGCCAGTGACAGCTCAGCTCAGCCCGCAGCAGAGACCACAGAGGCCATGAAAACGTCTGGATGCCACCAGTGGTGGGGGGCATGTCCTGCTGATGACACTGCCATAAACACACGCCAAACCAAAGCACTCCTGCCCTCTGCCTTGTCTTTCTTTCTTTTTTAACCTTCTCTAAAAATCTTTTTTTCCTCTCATAGGAGAGCCCTTCGTAGAGACTCCTTAGTGATATATTTAATTAACAGAGCACATAATCTAATCTCGACTGTATTTCACCTCCGTGTGCAACAGGGGAGCCCTCGAAACTCTTTATGAAGAAATATCTTAAAATGAATATTTAATGCATTTGGATTCACTTTGTTCTTAAATAAAATACATCATTTAAATCTCCTCCCCAAAACAAAACAAATTATAGATAGATAGATCAATCATTTGATGTTATCTGGCCATTGGTGGAGAAGGAGATGGTTTAAAAAAAAAAAAAGAAAGAAACAGGGTATTGCAAGGCTCCTAAAGAATCACAGGTGCTGTGGTGTCATGACACAAACGTCCCTGTGACCACCTTCTGTGGAAAGATCACTCAGAAAATACCCTTTCTGGAAAAGGAGGGAACCCTCTGGCCATTTTTCTTCCTGACCCCTCTCTCCTGTTTTCTAAGTTTTCTTTATAACTGTGTCATTAGTAACCACTCTGTCCTCTGAACGTACTTGATTTCCATGGTACCACTCTTTCCAGATCTTCTGCCTAACTTTCTATATGTTTCTTCACTGTCCAACTGATGGGAACATTACTCTCATGTGCTGGGCACCTTGGGCCCTGTCCTTGGCCCTTTTCTTTTACGCGCTCCGTCGGTGACTGAAAACACTCCCATGATGTCAACTGTTGCCTGTAAAATGATGGTTTCCAGATATATGTCTCTAGCCAAGGTTTACATCCCATTATTTCCTGGACCTAGCCCGGCCATCACAGAGCTTTCTCAGACTCCATATGCACAAGGGAAATCCATACCGTTCCTAAAGTCCCCTTCCATTCCATTTCTCTGCAACCAGCACCATCATCTACCCCATCAGTCAAGCAACCAATTAGAGCTCATCCTCCCATCATTCTGCTCACATTTTACAACCCAGTTTGTCAACATTTTGTCTGCCAGCAGCTTTTGGCAGCTGGATGGAAATGGATGGAAATCACAGTGGTTTAAACAAGAAAAGATTTATTCATTTTTCTCATAAAGCATGGGACTCAAATCATCCAAGGCTAGTACACTGACTCTAGCGTGTCATCACAACCCTGGACTCCTGTCTTTCTTCACTACCATGCTTTGCACAAGGCTCCCATCTTACAGAGCACATCATGGTTACAAGCTGTCTATTCTCAAGTTCCAGACAGAAAAAGAGATATAGAATGAAGAAAGTTAAGGCACTTCATTTGGCTCATATCTCATTAGCCATAAAGAGAAGGGTAAAATGGCTATCAGTAAGGCAAGATAGAAATCAGTGCCACCTACTTCGCTTTCTTAACATTTTTCACATTTATCTCCTAATATGCTAGGTTCAGACCCTCATCATTTCTGTGGATGCCTTCGATCGCCTCCTGATTAGACTCCTTGCCCACCACCTGTGCCCCTCACAGCCGCCCTTTACAGCTGCCGTAACTTTCTTAAATGTGAATCTGGTCCCTGCTTAAAATCTTTCAGGGGCTCCCCTTCAGCCTTCAAGAAAAAGCCCAAACTGCTTTGCATGGCTTCAAGCCCTTCCAGGTCTGTATCAAAGACACTTCTGAGACTTCGCTCTTCTCTCTTCCCCCAGGCTCTTGGCACACCAACTATTTTTCACCCCAAAACATCTACGTTTTCTCATGCCATCCCATCCTACAAGTGCTGCCAGTCTCCGCACCGATTACACACGAAAGCAAAGACATTTTCACGTGTGATCAGAGATTAAAGATTAGAGGAAGTGTCTGCACAGCAAGTCCACCTGTTCATATGGCGGAAAAAAATATGTTCTTTGTTACACACATATAAATATCACTCTTTAAAACACAACAGACCTGCCTCCTCTAAAGATACCCCTCCAGGAAGAAGGATGTGGGAGAGTTTTGCCCATCACTTCTTCAATAGCCCCATCAGTCCAGGCTTTTACATGTCTGAGTGGAGAAGGGAGAAATGCAACTTCTCACTTGAAGAGTCCACCTTGTCAGCTAAGACAACTCTACAGACATAAAAGCAGACCAAAGAGAAAGTGAAAAGTGACGAAAGAAAGGGCGAAGAATGCTGAAAGAAGAGCTGTACCCTAGATACACAGAAACTCCTGCAAAATACATTCACCACCCTGGACTCAGACCTGAGATGTGTGGCTTGTGGGCAAGAACAGAGAGAATCAAGAAAAAGCAAGAGGCTAGTTGAAGCCCAACGTGATGGTGCTTTTCCTGGTTTTTCTCAAAACCAAGCTACTTCCTGCAAAAGCCAAGGGGAAAAAATTAGAGTCAAAAGTTATCGCTGGGTAGACAGGGGTGAAAGTCACACAAGGTAACATGTGCACGCGCATGTGTGTGTGCACGTGCACGTGTGCATGTGTTGTCCTGGGCACACTCCTCTGGCTATTTGAAGACCCCTGTGGAAAGTCGGACCCTGAGTCTCTTTTGCCATCTGCTGACTGGCTCCCTCCTGGGAGGCTTCCTTGGACCTTGTTCGTGCTGGCTCGAGGGTGTCCCCTGTACTGGAAACAACTGCTGCCCGCAGGGATGAGCTGGCCTGTCACCCCAACGGGCACTAACACTTGGCTGCTTTTTCCAGCACACGTGTTGACAGGAATGAGACTGGTAAATGAGTCAAGTGGTCTGGAGAAAGAAATACAGTGATCACAAGGCTGTCCAGCGACAGAAACTGGTTAAGGACACACCTGCTCTCTCTGACGGCCTGTGTTATTGGAGCTTTGCGGGGAAACTCTACTTAGAGTATTAGCAAAGGAAAAAAAAAAACTGTTGGGGATCTCCGCATTTCAGTGACATTTCCTCTTGACCAGTTACTGCTTCTTCACTCTGCACTCTGAAAAGAAAAATAAAAAATAAGAGTGCCATACGAGTAGGAAAATTCCAAAATACTCCTCTACTGCAACCCAAAGCAATTTTTGTGAGAAGCCTTGGATGAATTATGAAAGGACAGTAAAGTAAGTGTTTAGAGAAAGGGAGACCGAGTCACAATGAGGGGCGGGGGGGGGAAGCACCATCCAGCCTTAAACTTCCCTGAGAGTCACACGGCCATGTAGTCATGGGTTGCAGCCATCTTTGTGGACACCCAGCAAACGGGTCACCAAGACTAGAATACTCTGGTGTGTGGGTTAGCATCATCCTCAGAGGACCAGGCAGCAGAGCCCCTGAGGAGGGGGTGCAGCCCTGGAATTGCCCGCCCCTCTATACCACTCTCACGGCCTGTAATAGCTGGAGGCTGGCCAGCTCCAACTGGCCAAATGCACTGGCCATATGATTGGCATCACACACTTCTTCTCTTCTTGTCTAGTTTCCCGATGTTCACTGACAAGTAACATGGCGAGGAAGTCCAGCACCTTCAGAGAGCGTTAATGATCGACTGTACCTAGCACACCATTGCCTTATCTGATGTCTCTTATTTGAAACAGACTCCCTATGGTTACAAAGATAACCCTGCAGTCTACTGTCCTTTGTTTAGAGCCTCTTTGCTTAGTAGTAAGGACTTGGATCCATCTTCATTAATCTTTGACTGCACCAAGGTCGTCAATGAAATTGCAGGAAAAAAAAAAAGACTTGGAGTACATAACACAGCAGTCAGTGGCATACTTAATCACATGTGCCTCTAACAACAATTCTGGAACAAGACCAGATACAAATCAATAAAATACAGTAGATCTTGGATTTTCTCTCTCTCTCTTGCAAGCTATTCCCTGCTGTGTAGAAGAAAGTTTTCTTTAAGTGAAGTTCTACAGAGATTGCATGTGTTTGGGAGAAAAACATGAAGGCAAAGACAAAATTTGGTGCACTTAGGTGTTTCTTAATGTTAAAGTTTCACTTTTGTCTCCCACACACTTTTAACCCAGTAAGGTGAACTGGACAAATGCTACCATCCCAAACTAGACAGATGGTCCTGCCTGTGCGTGGTTCCCAGCTCAAAGGTGGCAGGCCAGTGGTGGGGGAGAGGCAGTGACCAGAGTGGTAACTGTGCTCCCCTTTGCCCATTCAGTGGCAAACAACTGGCTATCCTCTTAATTCCTTTGTGTTCCCTGGAAAAGGTTTTAATCTGCTCACTGAAGTATCTACCTGTGGTTTGGGTTGCTGTTTTAAAGCAGAGTTTGTGGGTAAAGGAAAAATGTGGAATGATGTTAGCCACACACTTTTCTTGATTTTCTCCTGAACGTATGGGAAGGAAAGTAGATGTCCATCAGTGACTATATGGTATCGCATTACACCAGTCCAAGAATTTTGTGTTTCAATTTGTTTTCTAGTGTGCGTTGCCCAAACTCCCCCCAGGGAGCCATTTATTAATACTTGATTCACCAGAGAGAATGGGAACAAAGCAGGCAAAAGTTGCCATGCCTGATGCAACTTCTTTTAGGACTGAACCAAGAGCTGATGTAAAACTCCAGGGAGTCTCAGAGTTGAAGCCACCTAGGAACCTGAATGAGGGCAGAAGCCCTTCCTTTTTGCCACCACTTACCACACTTGACTTAGAAAACCAAAGGAGAAGAGAGGGTGTCAGACGTCTGGGCAGCAAGGCCTAGAACACTGAGGACAAATGGATGTTTGGAGGAAGTAATCACATGCCCAGCTTTTGAGCATTCGTCTCTGAGGTTCACATTCCATGTGCATGTCTGAGAGTCCTAATACAGAGCAGAAGGCCCCATTTTTGGGTGGGTGCAGTGAAGGATGGGAAAGTAGACTCAAGGACTGCATTCAGGGATATGAATTCAAACTCTTTGGAAATCGCTGAAGCTGACTTCTCTCTGGATCGTGCTTCCTTGCACAATCCAAAAAGAAATTAGATGCACGTCTATCCCCGTGCCCTCTGACATGACTGTGGGAAGTTCTATAAAGACTTCTGAGATGACTGGACGCCAATTATGACGCTGCCACTGTTTTCCATAAAAGCGTTTCTGCCCCTAGCTCAGCCACAGTCATTCTGATGAAGAGGCTGAGACACGGAGAAACAGCACCACTGCATAAAAAGGTCATTTGATCCTTGACGTCCCCAGCCTTCCCAGTGAGAAAGAACAGCAGTAACCGTTCATAATGAGTACTGTTTTTACTCAGCTACATCTTCTAGGCTTTCTTGAAAGTGATGTGGACTCTAAGAGTGGAAAGTTCCAGACTTAAGGTTTGTTTTCAAAAGAAACCAGGTCTGTAGGTTAAATAATGAAGTATTGGGCCACAAAATACATCAGTCTCCCAGGAAAGCCCCTTAAACTCAGTCAAAATTCTCTCTTTATTCACCTATGGTGTTTCACCAGAACTTGTAATCATTAAATGTTTCTAACCAATAGTCAACTGTCAGGTGGACAGAAAAGAAAAATTGTATAAATCTAAGGGCCAGGTGAATAATGGGGGTTTTGTGGTTGTTTCCATAAATTCAGCAAACAGATTATACTTTTTCTTTTCCTTTTAAAAGCCAATCCCAAGTTTTATGTTCACAACATCCTGTCACCTAAGGAGTGACAAAGATTTAAGGATGGAAAAAAAAATTCGGTTCAGATTCGTATTTTTT